ATTTTTTTTTAAAAAAAAAAAAAAAAAAAAAAAAAAAGAACTAGATGCAAGAATTCTGCAGGCTTTGAAATAAAATTTTTAAAAATTAAATAAAAATACACCCACACCTCTTTTGGGAAGCATTGCAAAAGTTAACATTAAAATATAAGGATTCTCCTCTTTCTTGAGTCCTGAGGACAGGGTCCATATTCCAGACCCACATTCCAGACTCTACATACTCAGAGCCAGCAGAGTGCTTGGTATATAGCAAGTTCAAGTGTGGAATTAATAATTTTGAATGTGGGGAAAAGCTCAGAGGGCATCTGATGTTGCCCCCTAATGCATTCATTTCCCACTTCCCAAAAGCCCCTTATTTATGTTTTAGAATTCAGATCAGAGAAAGCTGACACCATCCTAGGCTCCAGGGGATGGCCTAGCTATGCCATCAGAGTGTTCTATGCCCTCTGCCAGTTCAAATGGGCATGTGGCATAGGCCAGCTCAAACAGAGTAAATCTCAGGACTGCCCTTGCTGGGAATGCTGGAACCAAGGCATGCTGTCTTGCCCTAGATGGTGTGACATGCAGATATGAATTTGGGAACTGTTAAAACTATTCGGCCCATACATACAGGAGAGAAGAGCCAAGAGAACTGCAGAAAAAGGGAACTGGAGCCCTGATGACATGAATCTTTTAGTCACTCCATACCCAAAGCCTTCCCTATTACTGGGCTTTTCAATTACATGAATCAACAAAGCCTCTTAATTGTTTAAACCCAGTTGAATAGGGTTTTCTGTTACTTACAACTGAAAGTAACCTAACTGACAAAAAGGTAAAAGTGGAGGAAGGTTTCAAAAGATGGAGAAATCCACACTCACACACACACACACACACACACACACAAACACACACACACATATAAAAAAAAATTTTTTTTTTTTAAAGATGACTGGTAAGGGGATCTTAACCCTTGACTTGGTGTTGTCAGCACCACGCTCTCCGAAGTGAGCTAACCGGCCATCCCTATATAGGGATCCAAACCCTTGGCCTTGGTGTTATCAGCACCACACTCTCCCAAGTAAGCAACGGGCCGGCCCTAGGAGAAATATAATTTGATAAATGAAAAGTAGTAATATAATAAAATAAATTATAAAAATATGAAACAAAGAGGCAAGAAAGGAAAAGGGGCAGAGAAGAGAATGTGTGAGAGGAGATGAGAATTACTCTGCTTCTATGCTCATCAACATGCTTACCTGTTCAAGACTCCATTGGAAACTAGGGCTTCTTTAGGATGGAAATACTTGTAATATACATTCCTAACCACAGCATCTTTAAGGGAAAATGAGAGGAAGGTGCATTTTAGATTAGAAATAAGTTTGGTATTGGAGACTCATACAAATTTTGACCTAAAAGGAACCCTGGAACTCTGTTCCAATCCCTCTCATTTTTTAAATGGAAGAAGCCTAAGCCCAGAAGGCTCAGACTGCTGGTGAGAACAGAATGGTGGACGATGTACGCTCAGCCCAGGGCTTTTTCCACTGTACCACTGGGCACAGAGGGCTATGGTACGAATAATGAATGGAAAATTACTGCCTCTATTTAAAATAATAATAATGTTAATTACCATTATTAACCATGATTCCATATTCTTCTAGTAGGAAGTTAATATTGGTGTCGAATCTGGATTCTCCACCTTCTCCTAACATCACAAGGATATCTCCACCACTGTCAAGGTACTTCTTCAGGACTTCAAACTACACAAAGGAAGAAAACAATCTATGAATACCCAAAAGACTTTGTCCAAAATATTATGAAAAATAAAAAATAAAAAACCAAAATATTATGAATAAGACCTTAACTAGCAGAAAAATAAACACTTCAAGTCTATAAGGAATTTAAACATAAATGTATATAAGATATTATAAAATTTACTGTCTGTGTAGGATCTCCAAGCTTGTCTTTGAACGTAAAGCTCCGAAATACTCAAACTGAATTGACATTTTCAAAGTTGACTATCTGGACAGCAAACCAGAAGTGGAAAACTATCAGCTAGCAGAAGCTCATAGTTCTCTATTCAGCAGCACCCCTGGTTTCCACCTACTAGGTGCCAGTTGCACCTATCCTCCCCCAACAACCAAAATTATCTCCAGACATTGCCAAACGTCCCCTTAGGAGGACAGGGGGAAGCAAAATCACTACTGGTTGAGAGCCACTGATCTAGACCAGGCCTTCTCACTGCCCACCAAGGATATCAGGATGAAGGCATTTTGTACCACCCCAGGGAGGAATTCTGTTCAACGTCATCAACTGACCAAGCCACGGTGAGAAATGAATATTGTCTGCTTATCTCCTGAGAAGCTCTCTCTCTGCTTTCACAAAGCCAAGGAGAGGGGAGAAATCTAGGGCTGATCTTGCTGACACAGCCTGAGAAAATCTGGAGTGGGTAGTCCAGAATAGTACTGTCTCAACTTTCTTCATCAACCACCCCACCAGAAAAAAAACTTGAATATACATATATATTATAAAATCATTATAAAATATAATGGAAACATTCACATACTTTCTTCTCTGTCCTCATTTATCTCTCTCAATGTTTGCTTTCACAAATCTACTGGAATACCAACAAATCGTAAAAGTTTGGGTATATATGACCATGTACATTTTCAGCAGCTTATTAAGAGTGAAGGAACATAAATTAAATATTTTTCCAATTCAAAAAATAAAGAAAAAAACTTGAACATGCACTCTAATATGTATATAAATTATGTATATTTATGTTATAATTTAAAACATACTCCCCAAAAGGAAATGTTTTAAGGATAAGAAAAATATGAATAAATACAATTTCTTTCTGGCACCCCAGTGGTTCATCACATGCATCCCACTTTGGAAACCACTCGCCCAGACCGGCTTTGTTACAGCATGGCCTTCTTGCTCATGCATACTCCCTGGATTTCCCTCTCTCCCTGCCTTCCCCATAATATAGAAAACAAATGAATCAATTATTTCAAAATCAAAGTTCTTAAAAAATGTGTTCAAAAGACATTTCCTCTGGGTCTTATAATCTAATGCCTGTTTTCTGTGCTTCTGTAGAAATGTGGAACTTAGAACATTGACTGTTTTATTGTTAGTTGGTTCATTGTTTGATTTCCCCTAGGCTATCAGTGCCTTGAGAGCAGGGATCATGTGTTATTTGACTTTGACCCCTGGTGTCAGTCATAGGATGCAGCACACAATAGATTCTTAATGAATATTTTGGGGGAATAAGAAAAAAAAAAACACAAATACTGCATTTAAAAAATAGGCAAAGGAGCTGAATAGACATTTCTCAAAAGACACACAAATGGCCAACAATTATATGAAAAAATGCTCAATATCAATAATCTGGGAAATGCAAATCTAAACTCCACTGCAATATCATCCCACTCCAGTTAGACTGGCTATTACCAAAAAGACAGAAAATAACAAATGCTGGCGAGGATGTGGGAAAAGGGGAACCCTCCTACACTGTAGGTGGGATTGTAAATTAGTACTGTCATTATGAAAAACAGTATAGAGGTTTCTCAAACAACTACAGATAGAACTACCACATGATCCAGCAATCCCACTACTGGGCATATACCCAAAGAAATGGAAATGAGCATGTTGAAGGGATACCTGCCCTCCCAAGTTTATCGCAGCTCTATTCACAATAGTCAAGATATGGAACCAACCCAAATGTCCACTGATGGATGATTGCATAAAGAAAATGTGGTATATATACACAATGGAATACTACTCAGCCATAAAAAAGAATGAAATTCTGCCATTTGCAGCAACATGAACTCAGAAAAAATTATGTTAAATGAAATAGTCCAGGCATAGAAAGAGAAATACCGCATTCCTTACTCATAAGTGGGAGGAAGGAAGAGAGGGAAGGAGGGAGAGAGGGCAGGAGGAAGGAAGGAAGGAAGGAAGGAAGGAAGGAAGGAAGGAAGGAAGGAAGGAAGATAATAAGTTGAATTTTCAGAAGGAGAGAGCAGAACTGTGGTTACTAGAGGAGGAAAAGGGGAAGTGGGAGGGAAATAGTGAGAGGTTGGTTAATGAACACAAAGCAGCTAGAGAGGAAAATAAGTTCTACGGGTATAGAGTTGGGCTAGGCATCTATAATTAACAATAATTTACTTCATGTTACCAAATGGCTAGAAGAAAGGAGACTGAATGCAATCATCACAAAGAAAAGTTCTGTAATGATGAATATGCTAATTACCCTGATTTGACCATCATGCGTTTGTGCACATGTACACATTCAAACACATGTATATATGTATTGATATTCACCTCCGTACCCCACAAATATGTATATTAATACATTTCAATAAAAAATAAAAATAAATATTTTTTTGGAGGGAAAAAATGAAGCATAACTTCATGGATCCTGGACTCTTCACAACAGACTGCATCTCTCCCTAGATTCCATCTGCCTTTTTCTTCCTTTTGATTTCCTGACAAACTCTGTTTTCCAGATAGCTCTAAATATCTGTTGTGTTGTTTGACTGAAATAGCAAGCCAGGCCTAGTCTGCAATATATATACATATTCTCAGAGCATAGCTTTTGCTTGGGAAATCCTACTGGGACTTGGTACTTAAGATTGTGTGGTTCTGGGATTTGTCCATGTTGTCTAAATGCAGTGGGTATAGAGTTGGTACTGACATCTCCTGTGTCCTACTGGCCATCTCGTATTCTGAGAAAAAGAGATATATGAAGTACAGAATGTATAAATAACACAAGTTAGGACAGAATGTATAAATAACACAGAAGGAGTTTCCACAGAAGATGACTCTGGCTCCACTAGGCATCTAAGTGAGACCCTTCTAACAAAAGAACAGATATTTTGTACAAATTGGAGATTTCTTATTTTTTTATGGCAAAAATAGGAAGAAAGATTAATTTTGAAGGCCTAAATTTTAGAGGCTGACCTCCTAGTAGGAATGTATTCACACTGTTAAGTTTTACAGTATGGCAGCAAGGGCAGAATATTTTATTTACTGACATCGTATGACCCACGCCAGTGGCTCTTACTAGAGACATTTAAGGTATCCAGCAGGTATTTTTGATTGTCATAATATTAAGGTTTAAGGGCATTTTAGTGCATGGGGGGGCAGGGATGCTACAGGTCCTGCAATGTTCGGGCCAGTCCCACATGGAAAAGAACTGTCCCACAACTTTTGAATTTCTTCTTCCCAGATAGTCATGTAGATTTAAAAAAGAAAAACAAACAAACAAACAATAACTGATCCTAGAATCTAACTCCAGTTTACGTATAAATACAAAGTATTTTTTGCATGGTTTAACATATGCTGAATTTCCAGGTATATAACTATTGTGTAAACTGAAGGAAGAATTATACTTTCTTTTTTTCAGAACTTTACCAAGAGATGGTCAGTATTTTGGAAAATCACCAATGGCAATGAGGCTCACAACTGAATTGCCAGTACAACACTTCTGCATCAGTCTGCATTTGTACCAGTGCCATTCATGGTGATTCTACAAGCGCATTTAGCCTTTCTTTCAAAATGTCAGATATAAAGAAGTGTTCTATGTAGGTATGCCCAAGCATTAACAAACTGAAATACACATATTCTTCTAGAGTATATATGCCTAAACATTTACAGTCTGAAGTACATATCCTCTCTTATAAATTATCTTCATTTACTTTTTTTACATTATACTGACATCTTTTTAAATGGTGGTGGGTTATACCATTTATGCATCTCAACTCAAGACAATAAAGGCATTTATAATATAGGTGGACACTGGTCTGCCAGGAGTGGAAAACACTGGTCTGAGCCATGTGGTCACCTGGTGGTAACACCAAGTGAGGTGGAAGCAGGAAGATTCTTCAGCCTAGTTTCTAGCCTCATACTAGCATCTAACATCAGACATATGATGCCTGTCCTGTCAGAGAAGACTCTGGAGGACAACATGAAAGAGGAATCACACAGTCCGTGAGGGGTGATCTGACCTTTTACTAGTCCTAGGAGGCCAGTAGCAATGACCAGGAAGGCACTGATCTCCTCCCTCCAGGAAGCCCCCTGCTGACCAGTGGGATCAGTCCATTGGAAGAATAAAAACTCTAGGGAATATTGGTTCTTATAAAGAAGCTAAAGGGTTTTTTCCTCTTTCCTTCCCACCTCCCTTCAACTCTAAAGAGAAGGTCAGGGACTAATCTGGTGAGAGGACATTTTATTAGGCTAAAGTTCCAAAGAACTAAATCGGTCTCTCAGGGTACTGTGTCTTTTGGAAGCCACAGCTTTCCTTCCCTCAGACCCTGAAGTAAGACTTGGCCTGGTGCCCATCCTGCCTGGGAAAAGACTCAGGCACTGGGCTCTGCCCCTCTCTCTGGATGCCCTTGCTTTCCGAAGGCTGCTTGCTCCTTGGGCAAAGACCTGGTCACCTCTCTCCTTGGCTTTCCTCAATGGAGGAAGGAGGTGGGGCCAAAGCCCGATAAGTAATAAAGTATTCCTCTGCAGGCTGCTGGCCTCTGTGCGTACATTTCTCTCAGGGTCTCAGTGGGTAGGGGTAGTTGGTCACCTCCATATTCCCAGAAATAATTCCTACTCCTCTCAATTAACCTGATCAAACAGTTATGTCTCTCTCCATGCATTTCCCAGATGGGAACTTTGCCTTGTAATCAAATTGAGAAAAAAAGGACAACAAATATGCTCCCCTGAGGACCTCCTCTCTGTGGTACCACCCAGAGTAACAGCAGGTTACTGTGATCCTTCTCAATCGATGACCACACTGGCCCTGTCTGCCTCAACCTCCCTACTACTCTCATCCTCCCTGAGCACCAAAGGCACCTCCCATAACTCTCTATGAGAAAGGCTCTTGCTGTGTTCAGGGTTTTCTTTTTTTTTTTAAAAAAAAGATGACCGGTAAGGGGATCTTAACCCTTGACTTGGTGTTGTCAGCACCACGCTCACCCAGTGAGTGAACCGGCCATCCCTTTGTGGGATCCGAACCCGGGGCCTTGGTGTTATCAGCACCGCACTCTCCCGAGTGAGCCATGGGCTCGGCCCCAGGGTTTTTTATTAATTGTGGTAAAATACACATAACATAAAATCTACCAATTTAAACATTTTATTTTATTTTATTTTTTATTATTATTATTTTTTTCCTTTTTGTCTTTTTTCGTGTCCGGCAACGGACCGCAACCCTCAGTGTCGCGCCCGTACCGGACCAGGACCGGCAACGGGATCGCAACCCTCGGTGCTGCGCCCGCCCCTCGCTCAGCCAGTGAGCGGGAACCGGTCTGATGTGGGATCCGAACCCTCGGCGGGAGCGCCACCGCGCTCCCAAGCGGCACACTGTAGCAGTGTGCCACCGGGCCGGCCCCCAATTTAAACATTTTAAAGCACGCAGTTCAGTAATTTTAAATGCATTCACAATGTCGTGCAACCAATTTCCAGAATTCTTTTCATCTTGCAAAACTGAAACTCTATACCTATTAAACAATAACTCCCCATTCAACCCCTCCTGCCCACTCCCAGCAACCACCATGCTATTTTCTGTTTCTATGAATTTTACTACTCTAGGTACCTCACATAAGTAGAATCATACAGTATTTGTCTTTTTGTGACTGGCTTGTTTCACTTAGCATAATGTCTTCAAGGTTCATCCATGTTGTAGCTTGTGTCAGAATTTCCTTCCTTTTTAAGATTGAATTGTATTCCATAGTATGTAGACACCACATTTTATCTATTCATCTGTCAACGGACACTTGGGTTGTTTCCACCTTTTGGCTATTGTGAACAGTGTTGCTATGTATATGGTTATACAAATGTCTGCTGCGATTCTGCTTTCAATTGTTTTGGATATACATCCAGAAGTGAGATTGCTGGATCATCTGGTAATTCTATTTTTGTTTCTTTTGAGGAACCATACTGTATTCCATAGTAGCTGCCTCATTTCACATTCCCACCAACAGTGTAGAAGAGCTCCAGTTTCCTCACATCCTAAGACTTGCTATTTGTATTCTGGGCTTCACATTTATCATTCTTTATCTATTCAATGGAATCAAATAAAAAACAGCTTAATTTTAAATGGAATTTTCCTATTTTCAAAGTGAAAATATTACAAAGAAGTATATTTAATATTTATTTATTTTATTTTATTATTATTTTTTGCAAGCTTAAAGATAAGGAATTTTTATTTTATTTTTTCTCGTTAAATTTTTATTTTGTCAATATACAATGTATATGATTACTATGGCCCATCACCGACACCTCCCTCCCTCCTCCCTCTCTCCCCTCCCCCCCAAGAATGTCCTTTCCGTTTGCTTGTTGTAAAAACTTCAAAAAAGTATAGTTGTTATATCTTCTCCCCCCCCCCCATTTTTTTTTGTGTGTATGTGGGTGAATTAATTTGTTTATTTTTTAGTTCCCACCAATGAGTTGAGAACATGTGGAATTTCTTTTTCTCTGCCTGACTCGTTTCACTCAATATTATTCTCTCAAGGTCCATCCATGTTGTTGCAAATGGCAGTATCTCATTAGTTTTTATAGCTGAGTAGTATTCCATTGTGTAGATATACCACATTTTCCATATCCACTCATCCGATGATGGACATTTGGGCTGATTCCAACTCTTGGCTATTGTAAAGAGTGCTGCAATGAACACTGGGAAACAGGTATACCTTCGACTTGATGATTTCCATTCCTTTGGATATATTCCCAGCAGTAGGATAGCTGGGTCGTGTGGTAGATCTATCTTCAGCTGTTTGAGGAACCTCCAAACCATTTTCCATAGGGGTTGCACCATTATGCATTCCCACCAACAATGTAAGAGAGTTCCTTTTTCTCCGCAACCACGCCAGCATTTATCGTTCAGCGTCTTTTGGATTTTAGCCATCCTAACTGGGGTGAGATGGTATCTCAGTGTGGTTTTGATTTGCATTTCCCGGATGCTGAGTGATGTTGAGCATTTTTTCATATGACTGTTGGCCATTTGCATATCTTCTTTAGAGAAATGCCTACTTAGCTCTTTTGCCCATTTTTTAATTGGGTTGCTTGTTTTTTCCTTGTAAAGTTGTTTGAGTTCCTTATATATTCTGGATATTAGTCCTTTGTCAGATATGTATTTTGCAAATATTTTCTCCCACTCTGTTGGCTGTCTTTTAGCTCTGTTAATTGTTTCTTTTGCTGTGCAGAAACTTTTCAGTTTGATATAGTCCCATTTGTTTATTTTTCCTTTGGTTGCCCATGCTTTTGGGGTCATATTCATGAAGTCTGTGCCCAGCCCTATTTGCTGAAGGGTTTCTCCTATGTTTTCTTTAATAAGTTTTATTGTTTCAGGGTGTATATTTAAATCCTTAATCCATTTTGAGTTGATTTTAGTAAATGGTGAGAGATGTGGGTCTAGTTTCAATCTCCTGCAAATGGATAACCAGTTATCCCAGCACCCTTTGCTGAAGAGGGAGTCCCGACCCCAGTGAATAGACTTAATGCCTTTGTCGAAGATCAAATGGCAGTAAGTGCGTGGGTTAATTTCTGGGTGCTCTATTCTATTCCATTGATCAGAGTCTCTGTTATTATACCAATACCATGCTGTTTTGGTTATTATAGCTTTGTAGTATAGTTTAAAGTCAGGTAGAGTAATACCTCCAGCTTTATTTTTTTTGCTCAGCGTTGCTTTGGCTATTCGTGGTCTTTTGTTATTCCAGATAAATAACTGT